CTTGGGTTGTAGTTTCTGCCTGACTTTAGGTATTTCCACCCCAGCCTCCTCATCGCTCCACCTCCCACGTTAGATAGAGAGGCTCCGTGAGGATGAAGGAGAGCAGATTTTGCCAGAAGGAAGCAGGGAAGACAGATGCCATGAGGCCTGCGGATGAAGCGGACCGGGATAGGAAGGCCATCATCGCGACCACATTTTTTTTTTTTTTTTTTTTTTTAGCAACAGAAGCAGAAAAAACAAACCCACAGGGAAAGCTGGCCTGCAGCACAGGAGATGGGATCGGGTTTCAGGATTGCATGCATGTGTATGCGTGTGTTTGTGTGTGTTTGTGTGTGTATGTGTGTGCACCCCTTGTCTTCAGCATGGAGAGGAAGAGCGAGGTATTTGGAAGAGGAGTGTCAACGTCTGAATAGCTCCGCCCCAATGCTGAACAGCCCAGTGATCCTGGTCAAGTCACCCCACTTCCTCGTGCCTTAGTTTCCCTGCCTTGTGCAGCCACTGTGGGGACTGACGGAGCTGGGAACGGGGAGGCCCGTGTGCAGTCCCCAGTGCACAGGAAGTGCCACGCGGCGGTAACTGCTGTCCCCGTCCCTGCCCAGTCCCCGTGAGGCTCCGGGTTCAGAGAGCCCGGCTGGGGACACAGGCAGGGTGACAGGCGGGGTGGCGGAGGGTCCTGACCGGACCTGCCTCCGCCTACAGCACCGTTTGGGTTCTGAAGGTGATGGGTATTTTCCATGTTCTTCAATCCTGGCTCTGAGACTGAGTGGCCGTGGGCATGTTTCTCTCAGTGCCTCGTTTCCTGTTTGTAAAACGGGAAGAGTAGGGGCACCTGTTTCCCTGGGTGTTGGGAGGCCGTGGTTCTCATAGGATGGTCCCGGGGTGTCAGCACCGCCAGGACTTGGTAGAGATGCACACTCGTGGGCCCCACCCCGTCCTGAGGAGCCAGAAGCCCCTGAGCTGAGAAACAGGCTCCAGGCGTTCAGGCCGGGGCCCGCCCCTGCTCAGGACCAGGGCTGGGCAAGGAAGCAGCCACTCGGTGTCCTCTGCTGCTTGTGCCCAGCATTGGCAGCTGCTGCTGGGTTTGGGGGCAGCTTCCACCTCTGCCTCAAAACCCCTCCCCCAGCGCTGCACTGGAGGGGCCTTCCAGAATCCATCAGCCACGTCCAGAAAAGGCTCAGACTCCTGGAACTGGCTGCCCAGGGACGGGAATGCAAAGGATTATGGTTAGGACTTGGTCTCTCTGGTCTCTCCCTTTCGGCCGGGACCCTGAAGAACACGGTCAATACCCCTCACCTTCAGAACAAAGGAGGAGGAGGCAGCCCTGTGTCTGGAAGCCCCAGCACCTGCTGCTCACCAGCCCAGGCTCCAGCCCACACGCCACACCCCGTCCTCACTGCAGTACATCCCCAGAGCAGGACACACGTTCATTCCCTCCCTCACTCACCATTCAACTACCTTCCCTCGTGACAGCCCTTTCCTAGCACACACAGCAACACAAACCTGCTCTGGGGGACTGACAGGCCAGTGGGGAGAGGGAAGCAAGCAGTGAGTCAATAAATAAGTCACCTTGTGGTAGAAGCTCACTCAACTTTGAATGAATGAATGAATGAATGAATGGCAGCCCGGGCATGGGCTTGGGGTCCAGACAGACCTGAACTCAGACCTTGACCTTATCACTGTCCAGGCATGGAGGTTTAGGCCAACAGCCTCCGGGAGCCCGGTGTCTCCCTCTATAAACGGGGTGGGAGCAGTGTCCACCTCCAAGAGGCTGGGAACTCCAAGGGGCAATGCCAGCCCTGTGCCCGCACACGGTCAGAGCACAGTGCCCGCCCACGGTCAGCGCTCCGTGACGGTGACGGTGACTGTGATCGCTGTTCATGGTGGCACAGTCACGCCTGAGGGCCAAGCCGGGCCTCCTCCAGCGGTTTATTCCCGGGGGCACCGGGGGTCCCCAGCGCTGAAGGGGACCCCAGTGATTGGCTAGTGACCTGACTCCTGAGCTTAGTAAATGGGCACGGGAAGGTCGGGGGGGGGAGGGATCCTGTGATGCCCCCAGTCCCACCTGGAGGGCAAAGCATCCTCCAGACCCTTCCGCCTTCAGAGCAGGTGGGTGGGCGGGCGGCCAAGCCAGGGCCTGGAATAGAACCTCCGGGGGCCGCCGTGGCTCCGCCCCCCTCTCGCTGCCTGCTGGGCATCAGTGTGCCCACCTCTCAGCACCTCCTGAAGAAGTACTGTGTTTGGGGGTGCAGAGGGGGTGGAGGCAGCTACATCTTTTCACCATAAAAGCGGGGCCCCACCGCCTGGGGGTGGTCGGCTCTCACTGCCTATTTCTTCTCTTGCCCCCCCTCCCCCGGGTTCTGCTGTGACCCCCAGGCCTGAGCTGGGTGGCCTTCACCAGCACTGTGCTGGCACACAGACCTGGGTTTGAACCCACCACCACCGTGGGCTCTGGAGCTGGTCTTTCTGTGTCTGCATTCGTGTCCTCTGTCATCTCAAGGTCAAATGAGGTGACGTTGGCGCAGACCCCAGCACGGGGCTGGGCACACATCACACGCCCTGGGCAAACCCTTCTCTGGGCAAACCCCACCCTGGGCAAGTCCATCACATCGCCTCTTTCTGAACATGCCCTGGCCTCCCTCCCTCATTGCCTCTGCTGGCACCAGCGCCTTGACTGGGCCTCCCTCTCCGTCCTCCCAGCCTGCGGCATTCCTCCCACAGCCTCCAGACCTGCCCTCGTCTCCCTGTCCACAGAGCTGGCCTGCACCCACCCCCACCCTCCCCCCCACCCCCACCCCCACCCCCGGCGCTCCCATTCGTTTGCTTACACAAAGCTGCGAGGAACAGGATGGAAACAGCGCCTGGGAGGTGTTTGCTGAGCACTTACTATGTGCTGGGCACTGCACTCAGCACTCCCGCACCGTGTCCCGGGCGCCTCAGTGTCCCCGTGGGGTCTGTATCATCGTAGCTCAGAGGTGAGGACACGGGGACTCAGGGCTGCCGAGCTGCCGCCCAGAGGCACCGAGCCAGGAAACGGAGCCTCTGGGACTTGGGCCTGATTCCACTTTGCCTCCCCCACGTCCGGCACCGGGTGCCCCCACAACGGCTGTTGGAAGAGTTTAGTAAGCCCTTTAAGATCGGAGAGGGTAAGGGGGTGGGGAGGGGGAGGAGGGAGGAGGGAGGGAACCAAGGAAGCAGGCCGGGACCTGGCCTGGTTTTTCTTCACCATCTAGGTTGCTGGTGAGCAGCCAGCCATGAGGACCCTGCCGAGGGCTCTGAGCCGTGGCGTGTTGGCTGCCAGTAAAAACGGCAGCAGGTCGGAGGCCTGGGGTGGGTCATGGCGGGAATCCAGGCTCAGGTGTGTGTGTGGGGGCGGGGGGGGGGGGGGCTATCTCATCAGTGGTTTGGTGAGGACGGGGGAGTGGGGGAGATGGGCCACTCACTGGAGTCACCGATGTCCCTCCAGCGCCCTTCACTCGCCTCCTCTCAGACCCCTCCCGCCTTCCCGGCCACACAAAAGGGCAGCTGTCACCACCAGGCCTGGCAGTCGCTGCGTCTGACCTTGCTAGAGGTTCTCTATTCTGGTTTCTGACATAAAACTTTCATGAACCATCCCCGCGATCAGCATCCCCGTACCTTCCCCAGAGCCGTTTCTGTCCACAGCCACGCGCCCGAGCGGGTCTCAGGCTACAGCCGTGCAAATGGAGCCTGCGTGTGGCCAAGGTCACGGCCGGTGGAGGGCAGAGAGGAAGCATGGGGGGGGGGGGGCAGGGGGGCCGTCACACTCAGGCGACAGATGTGTAGGAAGAGCCTGCTTTTGGTCGGGGACGGGCTGGACACCGAGGATGGAAGGGCGAACACCGTTCCCAAACACCTGAGAGCACTCTCTGTGCTGGGCACCATGCTAAACGCTCCGCACAGGGACACTAACCCTCTCGACAGGCCTCTGGGAGGCGGACTGCCTCCAGGCTCCGCTTAGAGGGGGAAAACCAAGGCCCAGAGTGGTGGCCTGAATTGCCCAAACGCACACCGCTGGGATATGGTGGAGCTGGGGTTGGACCCCAGACGGCTGGCGCCAGGAGGCCACGTACCCACACACGGTGTTCGCCCAGCCTGGCGGGAAGACGGCCATTGGAGCAGGGGTCGCACAGCGTGTGGGACAGACCTATCAGACCTGGTCCCAGTCCCTGCCCTGCCCCTTAGGGCCTGGCTCCCTGATAGGCTAAGGCCCCTCCAGCTCAGTGTGCTCCCTGCCCAAGGAGGACCACTCCTGAGGATGCTGTGACGCCAAGAAAGAGAGCATGCGGGACGTGCTCGGGGCCTGGGGTTGGATCTGAATGGAGAAGGGCATGCGATGCTGGGCCACAGGCCCCTCAACCGTCCCGAAAGCAAAGATAGCCCATCTCCTCACGCCCAGCCAGGCCTCGGCGGCCGCTTTTCCTGGCCCGCCGACAATGCTGGAAGGGTCTGCGTGGGCGAGGCCCCGACGGGCTTGAGACCTGAAGTTACAGGACACCCGACAAGATGGAGAGGAGGATAGGAGAGCAGGAATTTCCATCCCGGGGAATCGGAGAACGTGAGAGCCGGCGGGGTCCTGGGGGATCAGTTGGCCTCATCTCCTCGGGTTACAGATCGGAGACGGGGCCCAGACAAGAAGAGAGCGTGCCCAAGGTCACACAGCCCGTGTGGACAGAGCCGGGACCAAACCCGGGACAGGTGCAGGCCGAGCTCGGGGAAAATCCCCAGTGCTCCCGAGTGCCCTTCCCACAAGGGGGTGGGGAGATCTGTTCCCCCAGGATGGTTCGAATCTGGAGGAAACACACCAGCTTTTCTTTGCCTGCCTGTGTGACAGAGCCTCAGACCTAACAGCCTGCCTCTCCCTTCTGATCCTGGAGTCGTGTGACCCCTCCTCTCTTGGCACGTGACAGACACAGCTCCGAGCTTTTAGCATCCAAACATCCCATGAGCCCCCTGTGTCCGGGCCCCAGGCCGTGGCTACTCACCGTCCACCCCGATCTTGCCGTCCCCATCCTTGTCTCCCGCGGCCAGCAGCGTCTTGGTTTCGGTGGCAGACAGGTCTCTGGCGTCTGCAGAGAAGCCCTTCAGGATGGCTCTGGGGAGAAACGCCAGGGAGGGAGTCAGGTCAAGGTCACCTTGCAGGAAACCTGTGCGGACGGTGGGCTGGCATCTGCACAGGGGAAGGGGCAGCTCGGACAGGCAGCGAGCAGCGGGCATGCGTGGGGTTGTGCGGGGCTGGCGGCTGGGCTGTGGCTGTGCCCTCCCGGGTGGGTGTGCGGGAAGGACAGGCTGTCCTCAGTGACGGCTCCACCTCACTCCGGGCAGGGCACCTGCCCGCGGCTACTCATTCGCCACTGCAACCAGCACAGAAGTAGCTTCTCTGTGCCCGGGCCGTGCTGCAAACTGGGCACGGAGAAACCCTGGGAAACAGCCTGAAGGGATGAGGAGGGTCAAACGTCCTGAGAGAGGGGCCCAGTGTGCTGGTGTGGTGGTGGGAAGCAGACAGGTGCTCGGAGGATGAAGGAAAGAGACTGGAGAAGATGATGCCTGGAGGCAGGCGGAAGTCAGTGTGTGTGTGTGTGTGTGTGTGTGTGTGTGTAGGCACACGTGTGCACACCCATAGGGTGTGTGTGTGTGTGTGTGTGTGTGTGTATGAGTGTGTGTATGTGTGGATGTGTGTGAGAGAGTGTGTGTGTGTGTAGGCACATGTGTGCACACGCAAAGGGCCTAGGGGGACAGAAGAAGGCTCTAGACGGAGGGTACCCTTGTGAATGATTTGGGGTCAGACTGGATGGAGAAAGAAGTCCTCACTCGAAAGGCTCCTCTCCGACCGTCCCCCCTCCTCTTTGACAAAATCCAAGCCAGCCGTGGCCAGAGGCACATCGGCACAGCGGGGTCGGCAGACCTGGGCCAGGTGGCCGAGGGGGCTACGGTGCCATTTTGCATTTTCATCTCCTCCTCCTCCTCCTCCTCCTCCTGTGCTTGGCTCCCTGGTCTCCTGACCCCCCAAGCTGGTCCCGCCTCCCGCATGTCCCCAGGAACTGCGCTAGCCGCCCGGGCCAGGAGGCTGGGGCGTGCGGGTGGCAGAGGTGCTTTTAGACAAAGGGAAATCGATGACGGCTCGAGCCAGCGCTCTGTCTTGCCTGTGGTGTTAGGGGGAGACAAGTGGCCTCCTGGATGGTGCTAAATTATTCAGTGGCGTCATCCCATTAGCAATATTAGGCAGCTATCATTCAGGCTGGCTAGTCGCACTTTCTGCGGCCGAGGTGGTCCTGCCGGCAGCGGCAGTGGCCGCCGTGGTTACTCCTGTGCAGGGGCAGCCGGGAGAGTCCCAGCCCCGCTCCCGCCCCCGCGCCCGGCCGGGCGGCCCGCAGCCTCTGTTACCCCAGCTCCTCCTCCTCGATGAAGCCGCTCTTGTCCTTGTCCAGGATCTCGAACACCTTCTTCACGTCGTCCGCGCTCTTCTTCTTCAGCCCCACCATCTGGAAGAACTTCCTGTGGTCGAAGGACTCGGCAGCTGCGGGGCGGAGAGGGCGGTTAGAAAGCCCACAGGCAGGGGCAGCAGGGAAGGGGGGAGGGGGTGTCCTAGAATTGGTCCACTGACTCCCTGTGCCCCCCTGGGGAATAAAGGGGAGCCACCTCCATGGGGGGGGGCAGGCCAGGTGAAGAGGGCGCTTTGCCCAAGGTCACAGGCAGAAGTGGGAGAGGTGAGCCTGCACCCAGACCGCCCTGGCTCTTAACCCCCTCCCCTACTCACCTCCCCCCGCCCCCCCACACACCACTGGGACCTAGGCTGATGGTGGGGCAGCCCCCGAAGGCAGAGGGGATCCAGGAAGCCTTTGGGTGGTGGCTGAGTGGAGGAACCGCAGGGATTCGAACCTGGTGCGTGCATTTTGGGGCGGGGCGGGGGGGGGCAGTAGGGGCGAGCGGGCCAGTGGGGGGAGAGACAACCTTTTCTTGCCACAGATTGTGCTACCAGAAAACCAACAGAGAGGAGAAGTTTCTCTCAAGGTCACACCTGGGAGGAGGATGGGGAGCACCCAGACTTTCTGGTTTTGCTGCCGAAATCCATTCCGGGGGGGGGGGGGGCGTTGGGGGGGATGTTAGAAGGCTCCCTAGGAATTCCCAGTTAGGTTTCTACTTAGAAGGAGCAAGGCAGCTCCAGGAGAAGTGGTGGCTGTCTCCGTGCCCTGGAGGGTGGCTTCCCGGGGAGGGGTCCCCAAGCAGACAGGAAACAGGGTCCCCCTTCCCAATATTCCCTGTCCAGAGCTCCTTTTGAAGATCCCCTAGGAAAGGGCCCAGTGTTAAGTGGGGTCCCTTATGTATGTATGGGGGTGTGGGTGCTGCTAGGAATCATGTTCTCCCTGCACCCAGGGCTGTCACTAGGGTGGGGGACCAAGACCCAGTCCCAACCCCACTGGTGCCCGCCGGTGACCTTGGGGTTAGAACTGGTCTTGGTTTCTGACCCTCTGCCAGCCTCAGTTTCCCCATCTGGGCGACAGGAGGGAGGCGGCTCAGCGCTGGAGCCCTGGGCCTCTCAGAACGCTTCCCTCCCAGGCAGCCGAGCAGCTGGAGTTGCAGCGCTGAGGATGCTCAGCCCGCGGGGCCAGGCAGAGCGGGGCGCCGGCCCCGGGAAGGTCACTCACTCTGGGCCCCTTGGGAAGGGCTCTGAGCCCTGGGGGCGGGGAGGGGGGTTGGACAGTAGTGGGACCAGCCCTGCCCCCCTCCCCCGCTGGGCGGGAAGCCCTGTCCACAATGGGGGTGGGGTAAGGGGTGGGAGAGAAGGCACGCCTGCCCGCCCGTATCCCCTCCTGCGCGCCTAAAGGGGGACTCCCGAGCGCCCCCCAGGAGCCTGGCCACGACCTTGGTGCGGACCCCAGCGCTCCCAGCACGGCCACCAGCCGTTGGCGGCCCCAAGTTCACGGCTCCCCCACCAACCCAAGTACCGCCCGGACAGTTTGGGAAACGCTGACTCCCGCTCTCCGCGTGCCCCCCCCCCCCCCGCAACCCCGCCGCCCCCCTGCGCCCCCGATGGGATGCGTGGACAGAGGGCGCCGGGGCCAGGCGGGGGATGAGGGGTGGGGGTTAGAGGGTGAGGGGAGGGGGCAGGGGCGCTGCTCACCGGCAAAGGCCCCCAGGGCCTTCTTGATGTCCTCCGCGCTGAGCAAGTCTGTCATCGACATCCTGCAACTGTTTGGGCGGGCAGAGCAAGTGCGAACAGATTAAAAAGTGCTTTTCTCATCGTTTCTGCTCATATGACCGGCGCTGCAGTGCCGCACGCGGGCCGGCCTGGCGCGGGGCCAGGGGGCGCGGGCTGGGCGCAGCCAGAGCGCTCGGTCCGCCGCCCGCGCGCTGGTCCCGCCGCCCCAGCGCCCGTCCCACCGCCCCCGTCCAGCCCGCAGGGTCCTCGCCGCCCCGGGGCTGGGCCTGGGCGCTGGGGGCGGGGGGCGGGGGGCGGGGGGCGGGGACCTCTGGCCCTGACGGGTGGCCCGTGTCACCGGCCGGGGCTGGAGGGTCCGCCTGCCGTCAAGGGCACGCTGGGGGCGCCGCGGGGGGCACTTCGGAGGATGCCCGCGGCTTCGGGGAGGACAGGGACCGGCAGGGGCCAGACCAGCTCCCTCCAGGGGCCCGGCGCACGCTGCTGCCACTCTCCCTCCGCTCCTACCTCACCAGCCTCCGCTCTGGTCTGTCCTGGATGCAGTTTTTATGCTGCACAATCTGAGCGCCGAGGGCCGGAAACCCGACCCACAGGGCTGGGAGGGAGGGGTGGCACAGGTAGGCGGGCACTCCCGGGCGCTGTGCGGGCGCCCTGTCCCACATCTGGTCAGGGATGCGCATCCGGAAACCTCATTTCCCCCCTCTAGTCTCACTTTTCAGAGAACCCTGCTCAGAGCTCCATAACCACCCCCTTCCCTGGGCCCCTGAGCCCCAGAATAGGGCGGGCCGGACTCCTCCTGCCCCCACAGATCGGCTGGAGGAGGCAGGACAGGAGAGGATACTTGGAATTTCCGTGTACTGTCCCCCACCCCCGCCCCCTCCGTCTTGGGGACCAAAAGGCCCAGGTTTGGGGAGAGGGGGGCACCTTCAGACCACACTTTCCAGACAGCAAAACGCAGCAGGTAGCTGGCCTGAGCCTCATCTCGGGGAAACGTGACACCTCCTATCTCCGGGTGGCAGAGACCAGTTGCATTCTTTCCCACGGCCACGGCTACAGCCTCCATGCCGAGCAGTCAGGCTGCACCCACCGCCTCTGGAGTGTGGGGAGCACTGAGCAGGGAGCCCAGAGGCCTGAGTTCTAGATCTGGGGCTGCGCTACGTCCCGGAGTGTCCTGGGGTGGTGACCGTCCCGACTCTGGGCTTCTGTCTCCCTCGGTGGCTGGGGTTAGTGGTCCCTTGGGGAGGGATCTTGGAACCCCACATTGAGGTGTGTGGGCAGGCGGGCAGGGGCTGAACCCGGTGGCCCGTGGTGGTGGTGGTGGTGGTGGGGGGGGAGCGGGGAGAACCAGCCAGCTGCCCAGAGCTCAGGTTCCATAGCGCTCCCTGTCAACACTGTCTCCCTCCGCTGGCCCTGGACGGCTGCCCTCCTTGGAAACCTTAGGATGCTGCTGGCTCCGCCGCCCCCCTCCTGTGAGTCAGCTCCTTCGGGAACAGCCTGCCATCTGGCCTCCCTGGCCCCCAGGCTGCAGCTCCCGGCCTGGTCCCTCCCGTGGGAGGCCTTGTCCGGACCCTTAGCTGCCAACTGCGACCCCCACCACAGCCGAGTTGTCAGCCTGGACCTGCTGGGCCTCGGTGCTCTCCTGTCAACCCCCAGGCCCAGATCTCTGCAGGGCCTTGGCTGCAGAGAAGGGTTCCCCAGCTGGAGGGTCCTTACGCTATCCTGGTACGGAAACCGAGGCCACGGAGTCAGCCAATGGCCTATGGACGTGCCAAGAGGCAGCGGCAGAGAGGGGCCCACCCGCAGGGCTGCTGACGTGACCTCCATGGGGCTCCCTCTGAGCTCAGGACCCAACCCTATGGCTGAAGCCCCAGACGCTGACCCCTGGGGCACAGGCTCCCCGGAGGCCCATGCTTCTCCTTCCTCCCTCTGTCTCTCCTGCGGCAAAGCCTCCAGCAACGTGACGCGCTCCCTGGGCTGACGTCCACCCACCACAGCATCAGGTGCTGTCACCTCAGCCCAGCTCCCTCCCATGCCCCTTCCTCCTGCCTCTCTGCCCTCTGAGGGCATCACCGAGTCGGCAGATGTCTGGCTCCACCCCTCTCGTTTTACAAGTGGAAAACCTGGGGCCCAGGCAGCAGCAGAGTCTGTCCCAGGCCACTCCAGGAGTGAGGCTGGGGATCCCAGGAATTCGTGTTCTCGGGCTCAGGCTCCATCGCTGCTGCCTACCGCTCCTCGCCCCTCAACCCAGCCCCTTAGCCCAGCCTACTGCCCAGGCCTCCTCCCCACAGCCTCCTCCATCCTCCTCCGGCCTCAGGAGCTGCCACTCACCTGGGTTGGGGGCAGAGGGCTGAACCTGCGCTGCAAGGCCGGGCTGGTGGGAGTCCGGTGGGGAAGTGAGCGTGGTGGTGGGATAGCCTCCTATATAGGCTTCTGCTCTGGCTATTTTGGGAGGTGCTGCTCCCCCCGGCCCTCGGCCCCCTCCCCTGCTGGTGTCAGATACTTCTCAACTGCGGTGCTGGGTGTCTGTATCACATTCAGCCTCCCTGCGCCCATCAGGCCGGGCCTATTAATAACCTTGGCCCCTGCCTCCCTTCAGCACCCGGAGCTGAGGCTCAGGCCAGGCTCTCCTCCTCCATGAAGCCTTCCGTGACTACTTTTGATGGCGGCAACGCTTCTGTTCTCCAGAATCCTGCAAGGGAAGGAGGAGGAAGGCGAGCGAAGGGATGGAACCGGAATTGTCTTCCACGCATGGGCTGGCTGGGCTGGGCTCCTCTACACGCACCACCTCACTACGGCCTCGCCGTGCAGGCCTGGTCCCTGTTGCGGGGATGAGGAAACAGCTCAAGGATGTCAGGAGTTACAGGACCATATGCAAAGCCGTGGGCCCAGCGCAGGAGTGGCCCAGCACCTTCATGAGATGGGCTGGTGCTCTGATCTCCATGTTGTCTGACAGGTCCCTTCCTCTCTGCACCTCAGCCTCCCCCGTCTGTGACATGAGCTCAGCCAGGGGCGGACTGTGCTCTGTCGATGGGCTCTGGGGACTATGAACCCCCGGAAATGCCCAGAAAGCTGTGCACAAATGAAGCAAAGGCCCACAGCGTCCATGAGATCCACAAGGGGCCGGTCTCTGGTGTGATCTGCCTTGGATGGGAGAGACCATCCAAGGGCTGTGTTATCAAAAGCATAAATGAGTGAATGAATGGATGAATGAATGAGACAAACATTTATTATCTAATGTGAACAGCACGAAAGGCTCCTCTCCCCATCCCCAGCCTTAAAAAGAATCTCCGGGGCGCCAACACTGTCAACAGTGAAGTCCAGTTCTTGACGGCGACATGAGGAGGCCCAGCCTTTACACAAAGGCTATTGGGGAGGGAAGATCCACCGTCCTTCCCTGACCATCGGCCCCCGGGTGGGAAGAGCGGAGGGTGGGCTCGATGGGGAGGCCCACGCTGGAGCCTGGATGTCCTGGGTGTGTGGCCGACGGTGATGGGGAGGAGTGTAGAGAGAGGGTTGCATTTCTGAGCAGACTCTCTTGGACTTGTGGCTGTCATGGACGAAATGGACAAATCCGTGCTAACTCTGAGTTTGTAAGCGGGGTCCGTTGGACAATGGAGGGACTGCTTTGGAAGGCGGTGAGTCTGGGGAGGAGCTGGGGCCAAGCTCGGATATGACATGCTGGAATTGAGAATCCTGCAATGGTAGGGCCGGGAGAGCCTCGGTGGTGATCACATGATGGTGCAAAAACCAAGGCCAAGGTCATGAACCCAAATCATACCGAGAGGACTAGATAAGCCAGGATGCTGTGCTGGGTATGGATGCCTGGAAGACATACTGGCCAAAACCAGTTTGGCTCAATGGAGAAAGCGTCAGCCTGCAGACTAAAAGGTCCTGGGTTCGGTTCCGGTCAAGGGCATGTACCTTGGTTGCGGGCACATCCCCAGTAGGGGTGTGCAAGAGGCAGCTGATCAATGATTCTCTCTCATTGATGTTTCTAACTCTCTATCCTTCTCTCTTCCTCTCTGTGAAAAATCAATTAAAAAAAAAAAAAAAAAAAGACATGCTGGTGGAAACGCCTGGGGGGGTCTGAACTCTGGCTAGCGATTGGGCTGGACACAGAGCTTTGGGGGTCATCCGGGAAGTCAAGCAATTGACTTGGGCATGGCTGGGTTCAGAGAAGAGGGGCTAGGGCCTGGGAAAACAGTCACTCTTGTTTGTAGGGCAATGTGGCAGGTATGGTGGATGCTGCAATATACATTTGTCCTTGAACCTCCTTACAAGGTAGGCATCGTCTTCTTCATTTTACCAAGGACGGAACGAGGCTCAGAGAGGTTAGGCAACTTGCCTAAGGTCGCAGAGCCTAGGTAGGACTTAAATCCAGGCCTCTCTGACCCCAAAGCCTGGCTGTTTCCTACTCTGCCGTCTTGCTTCTTGATAAGACCAGCAGAAGAATTCTCTGGAACCAGGATGCCTTCCTCTCTGTCCCCATGTGTCTCCTTAAGCAGATCTAGATGGGGGTGCATTTATTGAGGACCTACTGTGTACTTAGTGCTCTACTGAATTATTTCATTTTACTTTCGTTATAGCCCTCAGAGGCTTGAGGAGATAGAGTCTCAGAGAGGTTTAGTGACTTGTCCAAGGTCACACAGTTAGTACGTGAGTGAGGCAGTTGAAATTTAAGCTCAAGGTTTCCCATTCTGAAACATCTTCCTCCTTCTCCTCCTCCAGTGACACTTGAAGGGACATCCTAAAGCCGGAGTTGAATATCTTGAAGAATTATTCAGTTCCTCTTCTCTGAATCTATGCCAGTTCAAGCATCCATCACTTTATTAATCTGGTTTTACAAGAGACCTTTATGCCGGAGAATAGATTTATCAGGCAGGGCTTTTTTGACTGCAAGTGACAGAAAGCCCGACTTAGGCTGTTTTAATCCTGTGACTGTGTATGGTGACAGATGTTAAATAGATTTACTATGATAGTCATTTCACAATATATACAAACACAGAACCATTACATCGTAGGCCTGAAATGAATATAATGCTGTATGTCAATTATACCTCAGTAAAAAAAAAGAAACACTCCACGCTGCCTCCTCCACCCCCCCAAAAAGGACAAAAGGGATATTTATCGCCTCCTGTAACTGAGAAGTCCATGAGGTTCAGGTATGGCTCGATCCAGACCTCAAATGCCACCAGGAGAATGCTTGTTCCATTTCTCAGCAATAGCTTGTGCTGCAGCGGCCTCCTTCTCACACTGGCTGTCCCCGGAGGGAAAACATTCCATGCTTCCCACCCCTTCTCCCCCCACCCCCACCCCTCAGAGCTGTAAGTGCTCAGCTCCAGTCCTCTGGGGAGAAGGGAGCCTGCTGCCCTCGTCTTGATCAAAGGCCCCAGGACTGAGTTTCATTGGCTGCGATCGGCTCGGTTTGCTCATACACGGTCACTGTCAATTGCAAGGGTGGTGAGGCCTGGGCCAGAGGCCACCTTCAAGCTTGGATGGGGCTGGATGGCAGCATCATTGGAGCTGCTTGGGGTGAGGCCCGGCCCTGGGCCCTCTCGAGAGGTGAAGGAGTCTAGATGGTCAAGGCCGTGAACTGCTCATTGAGCGAGTCTCCAGGGCACCCAAGTGTGCAGGGCACCGGGAGGGGGAGGCACCAGAGAGGGGAGAGCAATGGCAGCCACATTGACCTTGTCAAGAAGGACTTACTCTGGGGCTAGAGTGGCCTCTCTGGATTGAGATTCCTACCCGTCGTGAGGCCTCGAAAGCAGCTACGCCTGTCCCAAGCTGCTGCTTAAAAGGCAGCCCAAGGGCCAGTGGGATTTCCCTCCAGTTTCCGGGTTTCTCACTCTGGACACCAGTAAGGCTGCTGCAAAGGCAGACGGATGGCCCAGCGAGGTGACATGGACCTCTTCTGTCCCCTCCGTCCAAAACCTGTGCCTGGCCTTGAGCTGGACACCTCCATGTCTATGTTGCGGGAGTGACTCCATCATCATCTTTTTACAGACATAAAACCCAGGTTCAGAGAAGTCCAGTCACTTACCCCAGGCCACACAGCACACAGAGACCAGAGGCTGGGCTGCCTGCCTCCACCACATTCAGTGCTCTCCCCACGTGGGCCTCCCAGCTGGTGTGTGTGGGTCAGCAGTCTCTAGCTGCCAGGAGACGGCACTCAGCTGTTAGCGGTGCTGGTGGTATTTCCTTAGTTCACACATTCCCACCTGCTGTGGCCGGAACAAGACGGACTTCCTGCTGGGGGCCTGGCGGCTGGGAGGATGCTGCAGGACCTAATGCCGCTCATGAGCTCATCCCGGTGAGATGAGGGGCATTCACTCGGAGGACTCCCGCCCCATTCCTGAGTCAGAGCTCCAGGCTGTCTTCCTTCCCCTCCCGCCCCTCACCTCCAGCAGAGAGCCCTAAGGGTGGGAAGGCACATAAGCGGACAGCCCTGGATCTGCCTCTTTCCTGCTGTGTGGCCTCGAGCAGGTGCTTCACCTCTCTGAGCCTCAGTTTCTCTGTCTAGGAAATGGAGCTGAAGGGAAAGCTGTGATGAAGGCTCAGTGACATCACGTCTGAGTAAGAGGTTTGGAGGACACGATATCCTACACTAATGATAACGAGGATGGTCATTCATCATTGACCCCGTACTGCCACTGAGGGAAAGGACCCCAGAGTTTCTTTATGGATAGAAACCTGTATTGACCTTGATCAATGACCTCAATAATGGCCCCATTATTCCACTGTGAGTTGGAGGCATCAACACTGGTGTCCAGCTTCTTTCCATAATGGCCTCTAAGGAGAACACATTAAACTGATGCTTTCATTGATAGAATATTATTAAGAATATTTTTTCTTGATTTCAGATAGGAAGCAAGAGGGAGAGAGAGAGATGGAAACATCAGTGATGAGAGAATCGTTGATCCGCTGCCTCCTGCACACACCCTACTACAACCCAGGCACGTGCTCTTGACCGGAATTGAACTTGGGACCCTTCCATCTGCAGGCGACGCTCTATCCACTGAGCAACACCACTTAGGGCCAAAGGGCTGCTTTATTTTTGGTTGTGTGTGGCCAGTGGTGTTGTTCTCGAAAACATTGCAGGAACGCTGCTTACACTGCTGCCGAAATCCATCTCTGCATGGCACTCCGGTGCAGCTGCTGGTGTAGAGTTAGTTTTTCAGGAACTGGGACCTTCCCTTGGGGTTCAAGCCTCATTTCTGCTGGGCTCGCTCCTCCTGACCCAAAATTGCGGCTTATATTCTGATAAGAGAGGAGACTTTGGGGAACGGGAAACTGGATATTGAAACCAGGCTGAGCAAATCTGGGACGTGTCTTGGTAGCCCTTCAGCCGGGGGGGGGGGGGGGGGGGGGGGGGGGGGGAGGAGAGCCGGAGAGCCGGGGGGGGGCAGGGAGGCTGGCTGTGAGCACTGAGTGTGAAAGCCTAGGGATG